GTGACTGTGTGTGATGGTTTGAATGAGAATGATACTGCAGGCTCATCTGTTTGAATGCTTGGTCCCCAGTTAGTGGAACTGTAGGGGAAGGATTAGGTGTGACTATGCCGGAGAAGGTGTGGCTTTGTTGGAGGAGGTCTGTCACTGAGGGTGGGCTTGGAGGTTTTGAAAACCCATACCAGCCCCCCTCCCCTCTATTTCTTTCTGCCTACAACTTGTGGATCCAGGATCTTCAGAAAGAACAACCAGTGCTTTTAACTAATAAACCATCTTTCCAGCCCTGAGCAAACAAGTATTAAAAGTAGCAGAGGAAGGGCTGAGTTACTGAGAGTGCTTACTGCTTTTTCAGATGACCTAGGTTTGGTTCCCAGCACCCTCATACCCTCATGATAGCCCACAACCCCCTGTAACTCTTCTTTTCTGGCCTCTGAAGGATCCTGCATACACACAGTGTTCATAAAACTCATGGGACACACACACACATACTTTAAAAAAAAAAAACAAAACAGCTGAGGACATGCATAAATGGAAGCAACAAAATGGAGTCAAAGTAGGCAGAGATAATCATAGTGTTTTAGATCACTCGATGTGCCCCATTCCTCTACCATTGCCATTAGATTCTTCAGGATTCATCTTGTTATCTTTACCTGTTTAGTAAAGTATAGAGGAGAGGCGAAGGAGGTGAAAGGAGAGGAGGCGATGTTGGGGAAGAAGAGGGGGGACACTGAAATCCCTGGTCCTTGGATTTTGCTCTGTTGACCTACATTTGTTGCTCAGAAGGAAAGTAGTTTTTTTTTTTTTTTTTAAGATTGATTAAGAACTGGTTTTGTGTGTATACATGCTGCAGTGCACATACGGAAGTCAGAGGACAGCATCTGGCAGCCAGTACTCCTTTTCCATCTGGTCTCGGGGGCAGCATCTCTCCTGCTATTTCTGCTGCTCTTCTGCTCTGCAGTTTAGCTTCTCATCTCTGCCTCCCTCCTTGCACTACTGTTTGGGGCTGTAAATTCAGATGTGCTCCACTGGCTTCATCGTTTCCATGCGGATTCTGGCTTTGAACTCTAGAACTTGGGTCATCGGGACTGCCCAGAAAGCATTTTTGCTTGTCGAGCCAAGTCTCAGCCCCCAGGTCAGGCATTTTCACGTCAACTTTTCCTGGTCATTTTATCTGTAATTTTTGAGCAACTTTGTATTTTTTGGCAATGCAAGATGAACTCATTTTGTTTGGAAATATCCTTCTTCACTGGGTCCAGGGCAGGATGAGACGGGATGGAACTAAAAGCTTTGTATCATAGAGTGAATGAAGTAGACAGCAAAGTGATTTTTTTTAAAGATTTATTTATTTATTATGTATACAGTATCCTCAGTACTCTGCCTGCAGGCCAGAAGAGGGCACAGATCTCATTACAGATGGTTGTGAGCCACCATGTGGTTGCTGGGAATTGAACTCAGGACCTCTGGAAGAGCAGGCGGTGCTCTTAACCACTGAGCCATCTCTCCAGCCCAGCAAAGTGATTTTTACTCGCCTTCAGGTTGTCTGGCCAGCTATCCTGTTTGCTGTGCAGCAGACAACAGATGCCGTCAAGTCTGGAAGTTCATTTATACCAGTAGGTTTCATTTTAATGACTTCCTCCCACTGTTCACAATCTTGGCCAGTGATGACTGTTGGTATCCACACGGGAAAAATTAAAGAGTGAGTCGAGGGTCATAGAGCAACTGTCATTAAAAATTGTCCCTTATCTGCTCCTTGGCTTCCTGTGTGAGCATTTATATGAGGTTTGAGGGTGTTCACTTAAGAATACTATCGCCGCCGGGACAGGATATTAAGTTTTTAGTCTTCATTGGCAGAGAATAGGTTGGGAACTTGAGCAGTTGGTCTGCTCAGGTTGGGGCTTAAGAAAACAGTGTTTCATAGGGAACTCCATCAGGAAGGTGTGGCCAGTGACATTTAGGAGCAGGAGTGTCTGCTTCTGTGCCATAGCTCCTACAGTTCCTTTTCTATTGCTGTGAAGGGATGGCGCAACCAAGGCAACTCATAAATGAGAGCATTTAACTGAGGGCTTGCGTACAGTGTCTGAGGGTGACCATTACAGCGGGGAGCACGGCAGCAGGCAGGCAAGACTCTGGAGCAGTGCTGAGAGTGTATAGAGAGACAGAGCAAGCTAAGTGGGAATGGTGTGGGCTTTTTAAACCTCGGAGTCCAGGGACACACCTCCTCCAGCGTGGCCACACCTCTTAGTTCTCCAGAGTTCACCAACTGCAGAAACGAGCATTCAAGCAAAGGAGCCGATGTGAGCCATTCTCATTCAAACCACAGCATCAGTTCCTAACTTTTGGTAAAGTTTGTTATAGCCACCAACCAGTCACCACTCAGAGAAAGGTGATTGCTTATATTAAGTGAGAAAAGACACTGCAAATCTTTGTACTGATGGTCACAGAGTATAATCAGTACATAATTTTGTGAAAATACTGTGTTTTTTTTCCTTGTTGGTTTTGTTTTGAGACAGGGTCTCACTATGTAGCTCTGGCTGTCCAGGAACTAGGTAGAACTGGCTAGCTTTAAACTCACAGAGATCCTCCTGCCTCTGCTTCCTGAGTGCTGGGATTGTGAGATTAAAGACATGCACCACTACCTGTGACTTAAAGTTTTTGCAGGATTAAAAAATGTGTTATGTATGTATGTTTGTGTGGGTATGCATACGTGTAAATGCAGAGTATTGGTCCCCCTGGAGCTGAAATTACAGGATGTTTTTGATGTACGTCCTTTGGAAGAGCAGCAAGCACTTGTAACTGTTAAGCCATCTCTCTTGTTCTTTTATTAAAGACCTGTGCCACCATAGCCGGCAAATGTATTCTTTATCACGCCTGCATCCATTAAATGCTGCAACGACACTTTGCTTAAAAATGTTTTATTAATACTTCCTTTTCATAGCTCGAAAAAGATATTACAGATTATTCAGCAAAACATCGAAAACAAAACCTCACCTCTACAGGAATAGCCAGTGTGTAGACTTTGTTACATAGGCACATTCTTTTAAAAGTTAACTGGTTTTACATTAAAATTAGCCACAAGAGTGCAAGAAGTTACACCGAGTAAGGATAAGTTGACAAATGAAGCGAAATACAAGCCTCAGATCAGTGAAGCCATTCACTGGATCTCGGGTCCAACCACCCAGACACACTGAAATTCACACGGACATCACTAGGGGGAGGGCGAGAAGGGATGCTCCCGCCTTGCCTTTTCTCAGTGATCCCGGTTAGCCTTCTGAATATGGCACAGGGTTCTCCGGTTTCTGTTGGCAAGTGAATGTAAAAGAAAACGAACGCCGGCAGGAGGGGAAAGGGGCTCACGTCCTCCTCACATGCCGTTCTTGAAAACCCTTAGATCCAATAAGGAGTTAAGTGTACATCTGCGTTCACAGAACTTGATGCTGGGTGTCGCGCTGGGATGGCCCATCGTAAAGCACGTGGAGTGGGCAATGGTGGTGCTTAAGGCTTCAGTCACAGTGTGGCTAGTGTCCACAGTGAGAACTGGAGTTCTGTCTGAGGCAGAACATGGGAACAACGGAGAGGATGCTGGGACTCCACCTGACCAGTTAGCACTGACCCATTGTATCTGACTAAGTCTAACCAGAGGAGAAATTAAAGTCATGCCCACAGAAAGTTATTTTATAATGATCCACATTAAAAAAATTAAATATGTTTTAACAGGGTTTTCTCTCATTTGACTTTCTTGTAACTAAGATGGCTCCAGATTAGTTTCTGTTCTCCCCTCCTCCTATAGCCATCCACATAAAAGGATGTACCTATAAATCCTAGACCATCTTACATCCTAACATCTTCAGTACTTGGAGGGTTAGATCTACTTAGGTTTCACCTGGTATTCATATCCCAATATCCACCGGGAAACTGCCCTTTTGACCTTTGTATTGAACTGGTATTTTGAAGTCAGTCGTAGAACAGAGAATTGGGGGCTTTCCTGCAGTTCTGTCGTTTAAACAGATGGGGAAGGGAAAAGGGGTTTGAGCAGAAAAAGATAAAACTAGCTGGCCTCTCTAGCATGCATGTTTTAAACGTCTTGGTTCGTAAGCATGGATAAAGAACCTCACAGACAAGGAATATCAACAAAACGTGGCAAGAAAGGACATTTTGTGAAACAACCCATAAAACCACTGCTGGAAAAAAAAAAATAACCCAAGAAGCGAAAGTCCAGCCCTCTCTCTCTTTTGTCTCTGGAAACGGACATCAAGTTGGGGAAATAACAGGTGAGTTAACTATAGCGACTATCCCATGCTTATGCACAGCCAGAGAGCCCAACTTTCCCTTCACAAAGCCATCCCCGCATGGCCACCACCAACAATCCTTAGCATCCTATTGCACAGCCTCTCTTCTCTTCAAGGAGTCCCTTAGCCAGGGCACTCCTGAGCTGAGCTGAAGAGCTCTGCTGTCTAGTCCTGCTAGGCGCCCTCTTTCCCACAGCTTCTTTCTTTAAGAGACAGCCTCCAGTTTGGGTTACGTTGAATCTTGGTGGTCAATGCTATAAATGCTTCAACTCTTTTCACTATTATTTTCTTTAGTTTGTTCTTTAGCGGCTTTTCATTACATCTAGCTTTTATTTGCATTGTTCCAGGTTCTGCAGAACATAGTATACTATAGAAACTTTCTTACCTTTGTGGGCTTGGAATTGCAACACACACACACACACACACACACACACACACGCTCACTTTAAGAACTGGAAGGGTGAAATATAGTATACACATACACACATGTATACACACACACACATAGTCCCCCTTTCAATTCTTTTTTTTTTTCTTTTTTTTTTTTTAAATATTTATTTATTTATTTATTTATTATGTATACAATATTCTGTCTGCATGTATGCCTGCTGGCCAGAAGAGGGCACCAGACCCCATTACAGATGGTTGTGAGCCACCATGTGGTTGCTGGGAATTGAACTCAGGACCTTTGGAAGAGCAGGCAGTGCTCTTAACCACTGAGCCATTTCTCCAGCCCCCCCCTTTCAATTCTTAAAGTATAAGACTGTAACAAGAAGGGCTAGACCTGCTTGTTGGGGTTTCTGTCCTTCCCGGTACCCCCAGCTGCTTAGGCCCAAAGAAAATCACACAAAGATCTCTGTAAGTTATAAAGCTGATTGGCCCATTAGCTCTAGCCTCTCATTGGCTAACTCTCACATCTTGATTAACCCATTTTTCTGATCTATGTTAGCCATGTGGCTCAGTATCTTTTTTCAGCGGGGCAGATCACATCCTTTTGCTTCGGTGGTCTGGGCAGGAGTGGGAGGAATCAACTTCCTCCTTCCCAGAATTCTCCTGTTCTCATTACCTCATTTCTATTTCCTTTCTGGTTTTCCCACCAATACTTCCTGCCTGGCCAATCAACATTTATTTAAAACATGATTGACAGAATACAGACAATTCTCCCGCATAAGACTGAACTTTCATTGGCAAATTGTCTAAGGCACACTAGAAGAAAAATAAAACTTCCATGTTTTTACTTGAGTGACCATGGGACTATTACTAATACATGCATTTGTTCCTACTCTTAAGACTGCTTTCTGTATTTCCTTCAGTTATAAATGATAATATCCAAAACCAATCTCATTTACAAGAGCATAAATAAAACATGGTCATGTGTAGGGAACTGGTAAATTGACACTGGTCATGTTTGGAAAACATCAATTAGAATCATGGTGAGAATACATTGACTAATTCTAAAGAAAATGCTATCACAACTTGGTAGAAGTGTTAACACAAGATTCATTTACTAGATGGCATTTTTTTTTTTTGTTTTTTTGAGACAGGGTTTCTCTGTGGCTTTGGAGCCTGTCCTGGCACTAGCTCTGTAGACCAGGCTGGTCTCCAACTCACAGAGATCCGCCTGCCTCTGCCTCCCGAGTGCTGGGATTAAAGGTGTGTGCCACCACCGCCCGGCAATGGCATATTTTTAATTTTTGTTAGCTCTGTTCATGAATTCTCTATCAAAGTCTAATCTAATCATAACCTCAACTTCAGACAAGCTAGGATTGATTAATTTAAATCAACCATTCTTAGAAGAATTAACTTTGTGGTGGTGGCACACATCTTTAATCCCAGCACTCAGGAGGCAGAGGGAGGTGGCTCTTTGAGTTTAAGGCAGGCCTGGTCTACACAGTGAATTCCAAGACAGCCAGAGCTACACAGGGAAAACCTATCTTGAAACACTTTTAAAAAAATACCAGTTTTTACCAGAAGAAATTATACAAGTAGGTTGGATGGTATCACTTCCAACACATAACAATTAATTCCTTGAACTTTTAAGGAAAAATAGAAAAAGGTCAGCTCAATCTCTCTCTCTCTCTCTCCCCCTAAACTGATTATAAAGTAGAAATTTTGAAATCATGATTTCACCTGGTGAGCCTCAGCTTTCCCATCTCAGATCCCCATCCCATGTGGGGATGTGGTGTACACAGAGGCACTGGTCAATGTGGGGAGACAAAGACCTGACAGAGCAGGACTGGCTGTGTGCTCCATCAGACACTTGCATCTTCCACTACTTACTCTTGTAGGCAAGGCCAGGCAGGGCCCACAGGTCTGTGTGACTGGCAGCAATAAAACTGGATCGATAGCCTAACTGTGGCCAACACCTGCGCCCCTCCATCTCTGAGTGCAGAAATGTTTCTCATTATGAATAAGGTCTGTTGTGGGTCAGGGTCAGCCACACAGTAAGTGCCTCTGTCCTGACGCTGGGTTGACACTGGTGGCAGGAATAAAAGCAAAATATAAGTGTTTAAGTCCTCTGGAAAATGAATGCTGCTTGTTAGTTGTAATGTGAGGACCGGATGCTAACTAAGCAAAGGATGAGCGGTCTTAGAGCCAAAGCGCTGATGATTTCCACTCATTTAGTGAGTGTATTTGACTTAGCAGTAAGGAGTTAAGGGGGCTGGGCTCACACTTTGTGGCAGGCCTTTAAATCACAAGGAGAGTGGTTCAGTAATAACCACAATAGTTTGTCTTCATGTAGCACATTCCTCAGGAGTAGACCTTCTAGGGACATACATTCCTGATCCCAGGCAGGTTTCTGCACAGAAATTAGTCTCATTTCAAAGAAGGACTCTTTTGAATGAAGGGATAATCTTGAGGACAAGCCTGGACAGAAAGGTGGGAAGGTAGTGAGGTGGGGAAGCAAACAGGAAACAAAACAACAACAAAAGAAAAAGTCTACTAGGATCAAAGGGCTGCCTTTTGAAAAACCAACCAGCACTGTGTCTACAAGAGAGGTGTCAGTGTCTGTTCTCAAAATTCCTCCCACTCTTTTTGTTGCTTGTTTATTTGGTACTTGTGCATGCTAAGCAAGTTCTCTACCACTGAGCTACACAGCCAGTCCTCTGGTTTGAGATAGTAGAATGAGTATCTTTTTTGTCCTGTTTGACTGTAAAGTTGAAAAACAAGCTCTTGACTCAAAAATAAAGTTTTTGAAACCACGTGACCCCAAGCGTGTTCGAACTGCATTGGCAAAAATCCATCCTCTTTTTACACTTTTTCATTATTGAGAACATAGACTAGATTTTTTTTTTGTAACCACGGGAAAAATAAAAACTGAGGGCCCATGTGGCAAGCACACATTCTGTATATCAAAAGGGCAATCTGCCTAACTATGGTTTTCATATAGGTTATTCATAAGTCCTCAAATACATCTTATCATACTCCTCAGCTCCCTACACTGTTATCCAGAATGACCCTAAGCACAGTGGAGGCAAAACAAATCTGGTGACCAAGGTAGTAGATTTTTAAAGATTAGATAATTTGCTTACGAGATACAAATAGCACAGAGGGGAATATTTTTTTTTTTTCAACCAATGTTTGATTACTGGTAAAACAACAAAATTCCAAACAGTCCAGGAGAAGCACCAAAGCAAGAAGACTTAACCGAGGGGGTGGGAGAGAAGGCAGCACAGGTATCGTGTACTCTATGCCACCTCAGAGGCAGGGCCCCTAACAGCGCCGGGCTAGGGATGACCTTCTTGCCCATGCTTCAAGCACTTGGGTATCTGAAAACTCTTGAAGGCCTTTAGCTCAACAGCAGAAATGACATGGGATCCTTTGACCAAGTTCTTTTCGAGGATCCCGCTGTCCTCCCACAGGACGAAAACAGAGAAAGGCTGTCTCCAGTTGGAGTGTCTCATTCCAATCGAGACTATTTGGAAAAGAGCTTTCCTGTCATCTCGCTCCAAACCAACGTGACAGTCCCGTCCACAGCACCTGGGATAGGCGTGGCTCAGTTAACCCATGGGCATCTGCTACAGCAGGACATCTTTTTCTTCTTTAGAGCACTCCTTACTAGAAGATGCTTATCTTGAGCAAACATCTGTCATCTGTAAAGTTCTCTTCGGTTTCTATTCTGTTTGCCTCTGAAGTTATGCAAAGCAAATCTAACTCCTCTTCCTTTTTATAGTTTAGTTGAAACTTTGTGGCGGCCATTACATCATTTCCAAACTGTTCTCCGTTCGCAGCTACACCCTCTGTTCCTGAGGACACTCCCACCCCCTCCCCCAGTCCTTATAGAGTCACCATCTTCACAACTTTGCTTACCTGCCTGTGGGCACATTCAACATGCATCCATTCAAGCATGTGTGGGCGAATGCACCATGCAGAGTTGTTTAAACCCCTACCATCACAGATGGAATGCATTAGCTTTGTGAATACCTGGTTCAAAACCAACCTCTCATTTCCTTAAGAAAACGTTTCTATATGAACTGCTATAAAACCCAGCCTCCTGGGTTCTATGAACACACACACTTCTGAACTGAAAGGGTGGCATTTTAAAAAACTCAAAATACAGGTTTATGCCTATGCAGCTTGTCCTTTTCATTTCAATCTAATGCTTAGATGGTTAAAAACATAGTTCAAACTGGGGAAGGTGGGGGCACATGCCTTTAATACCTGCACTCGAGACAGGCAGATGAATCTCTGAGTTCAAAGCCAATCTGGTCTACAAAGAGAATTCTAGGACAGCCAGGGCTACACAGAGAAACCCTGTCTTGAAAACAAAACAACACAGTTTAAAACACTGCAATGATTTCTAATGTCTAAGGCCAGTACATAGATCGACCTCACTGAATATGAGCTCAATATATAAATCTTGAATCAGTCAGTCCCAAATTGCAGGTATTTTATATTTCCTTATATGTCCCAAGTCTGATAAAATATGCATTCTGTCTCCTCACTTTATCCTTCAGGAGAGAAAACACCAAGGTACAAAAAAGCAGGGACAGGAAACAGTGGGTGGGCTGGGAACATGGGACAGAAAGGGAAGTTCTGGTTCTCAGAAACAGGTTTTCATGTTCACGACACTGGGAATCTGGCTTTCTCCAGCCCCACCCCAGAGGTGTCTGCCTGTTTGTACTTTTAGAATGCTGACCACCAACCCTGTTATTTGAGGCAAAGCTCATTCCAATTGAGCTTTTACTCTTTAAGTTTTCTCTAAATTTCGAGTTAAAGGGACATGTAACAGTCATTGCCTATGAGGTATAAAAAGAACTCCCAAGTGTCTTTCTCACAGGCCTTTCCCATAGCCATGCCTGTATCTCAGGAATTAGAGGTGATCGGTGAGAACCTGACAATTCATTATGACCGAAGCTGTCTTTGAACTGAATATAATTATACATAATGTCCCCTTTCCTTCAAGTGGAGAAAAAAATAGTTCAGCTTTCCGTTCTTTTCAACAGACCGTGAATCTAATCCAGTCCATTTGTAGAATTAAGCTTCAACCCCTGAATTTGAAAAAAAAAAAATCTGATTGACCTCTCCCACTGGGTATCACGACTCAGGATAGCAAATGGGAAAGTAGGAGTTGAAGAAAAATATTTTGATCTCGAACAATCCAGAATAGAAAGGAAACATCTGGAAAACCTCTGTGGAGTAAAATCAGCATTTAAAGAATGGAGATTTCTAGAAAAGGCCTAGTAGACCCAAAGGGGAGATGGTTTTGAAAGTCTCACTTTTTTATAGAGGGACCCCTGGAGATGGATTCTTGATTTAACTTTCCAGAATGCTTTTTCCAGAAACCTACAAGGGACAGATGGATACCGGGAGCAAACTGTGCCATGACTGATGTTGGACATTCTCTTCAGGTCTCTAATCGTCACCATAAACCACACCCCAGTGTCATGATATAAGCAGAAAAGAGACAAGGAGGCTCAATATACAATACACTCCAAAAGCCGGGCGCACCCTGTGCTTCAGGCATGCTCAGCGTCAAGGAGACTATTGAAAGTGACCCCCTCTCAGGATTTCCTCTCACTCACAGGTGACTGCACACAGGAAACTGTGGTAGACTGCCCCCAACGAGAGGCAGCCACAGCAGGTGTTGACTTAACATATTCAGGAAGACACCGATTGTGAGTCAGCATTCCTCAGGTCCTTACACAGTAGGCCGCTGTCACTGCACCCCACATTCCTTTGGGTTGTCCAACTCCTCTCCTTCAAAGTCTGGCTTCAAACTCTTTTTTTGTTCAATTTCCACCTGCCAAAAAAAAAAAGGTGAAAACATCAGGAATGAGAGGGAGGGAGAGAAAAAGTATGAAAATGAATGAGCCCAAAGAACCTCAGAAGGTTATTTTGTGGATGTTCTGGGCTGCTGCCCTAATGGAACCACTAATCCTGCATATGCCATGATGCCCTCTTCGTGGTCCTTCTGGGGAGATTCTTATTCTGTGTCTTGCAGGATTGCTCCTTATCCAGTGGGGTGACCAAGTTCCCTCTGAACAGTTCTGGTATCCCTGGCTCCACTATTCCATAGGCCCCATGGGAGAGGAGCAAGAGCTAGCTCATTTTATCCAAGTTGTAGAAATCCAGTAGGCAATACCAAGTTTACCGTCTCTCCAGCTACTTCATTTAAGACGCTAGGCTAATAAGTATCGGAGCATTTCCTAGTGTAGCCTATCTTCTGCTAAATACTGCCAAGAAGTTGCCCTTTCAAAGTAACACGGCTTGCACTAGAGAGACAGCTCAGTGGTTAACAATACTGGCTGCTCTTCCGGAGGGCCTGGGTTCACTTCTCAGCACCTACATGGTACCTCTCCACTGTCTGTGACTCCAGTTCCAGGTTCTTCTCAGGCGCTACAAGCATGGGGTGCACAGACATGCATGTAGACAAAGCACCCACACACATCAAATAAATACATCAATAAATCTTTTTAAAGTGTAATAGGCCTTAACTAAAGCCCCTGATAGGTCAGGAAGGGACTGTTTGAACTGAGGAATCTCATCATTCCGACTGCTCCTCAGTCCTACACTGGACATTAGACTTCTCCACTTGGAGGCAACAATAGAAGACAGATTACAGTCCATGGATGGGGGCGGGAGTGCTAGATTTTTTTTTTTGGCCACAAGAGGGGGCATTTGTTCTTTGTGGTTGTTAAAAGGCTTAAGTGATGCAACTAAGAATATTTAAAGGAATAGCAAATTATATAAATCTGCGATAATCATTATACATAGGAAATTGCCAAATATCTTTGCAAAGTCTTAACAATGCCTCTTTCCCCTCCGTCTCTGGAAGTCAGTCGTCTACCCAAGTCTACCTCTTTGTGCTAAAAGTCCTTGCTTTTGCAGTCATCTACCTATAATCTGAGCACTCAGAGGCAAGACAACAGAATTTGAACCAGACTGAGCTACAGAGGGGACCCTGTCTCCAACTCTACCCCCCCACCAGAAAACCAGTTCTCCAGCGCTGACCGCAGACTTCTCCCACAGCCTTAATCCCGTTAGCAAAGTAAAGGGTTTGGCTTTTAAGTTTTACACTCTCACTGTCCTGTGTGCCTCTGTTGTGTTCTGATACAACAATTCCCACAGATGAAACACTTGCTTCAGCTTATCACCTTCGCAGGGCTCCCCTCCATTTCCAAAACCCAAATTATGTCACGGGTGAGTGACAACTATTGCTTGGTCCCGCTGTTTTTTTTTTTTTTTTTTTTGTTATTATTCATGGTGTCAGACATATTCTTCATCTCTGTCATCAGCCCCTGAGTTCTTTTTTTCTCCAAACCTTTCTCTTACCCAGGAGAGATTATTTCATAAAAGTCGGAGCTGATTCATCCACAGCTATGAGTGTAAAGTTCCTTGATATGAGAAGAATTTGCCGAAAGGAAGAGGGGGAGGGGTTGAAGGAACAAATGGACTTGGGAAACATCAGCCCAGAGCCCCCTGAGGCTACCTTGTAGCTGTAGTGGGCAGAGTAATTGACCCACTTCCTGACAGCAGGTTTGTCTTCCACAGAGATGGATCTCACAGCTGCTTTGGAGGCAGAAGTCGTGGGCATGCTGAAGTCGACATTTACATAATTGGCAAATCTGGAAGGCACTTCCCGGTCAGAGCCAAGTTCGAGGTGGCAAAAGAAACAGTGTGGGTGACCAGAAGCTATAACAGAAAAAAAAAAAAAAAAAAAAAAAGAAATCAGAGGTCAAGTACTTTGAGGATGAAATTAAAAAGGACAAGAAGCCAGAGAGCTACTTTGATAATAATAGCAGTCTGCAGGCTGTGCACCTGGCACTTTCGGGGGGGTCCAATGCTGAGCAAGGAGGCTTCTGTATGCAGACGTCAGGCTCTGTGTGCCTCAGGTCCTTTGATCCAGTGCCTCCTGATTACCCGCTAGAGATAGATCAGTGGTTAAGAGCACCGGCTGCTCTTCCAGAGGACCTGGGTTCGATCCTCAGTGCTCACATGGCAGTTCACAACTGTCTATAACTCCTGTTCCAGGGGATCTGACACCCTCACACAGACATACAGACAGAGAAAACATCAGTGCACACAAAATAGATATCAAAGTGACTAAACATCATTTGCAAACGAAAACAAAACCCCACATCTGAGAAACTGGGCCCTTGTGCCTGTTTAGGTCAAAGAGCAATGTAGACACAGCACAAACACTAAGGAAGGGGGGCTTAGAAGTGGAAGAACGGAGAGAGGAGATTGAGAGATTGAGTAGCACTTGACACCTAATACAGCAACAGTGACGGCCACCGGGAGCAAACCGCTCTCCTTCACAAGATGAATTTTCTTAATAGCATTTTCTATTTTCAGAGACGCCTCAGGCATGTTTCTGTGGATGGATGACATATGAAAGTGACAGACTTCCAGGAGCGCACATGACATCGGGGAATACAGTGCAAAGGACAGACGGTCTGATCAGTAGTCATAACGCCTTGGTCGGCTTGCAGTTCTCCAAGCAGAAAAGTCCTTTGTTCTCTTCTGACTTGAACTCCTCATCTGGAAAGTGGAGTGGTCAGGAGGGGCACGAAAAAGCGGCTGTTATAGTAAACGCAGAATTAAAGAGCTGTGGCTGACTCCGTATCTACGGGTTGACTGTACTTACAGGTAAAATTAGGATCAGCTTTTCACTTGACAAGCTAGATTTGAGGGGGAAAAGAGCTTAGTTGTGCGACTATGACATCTGAGCATCACTATCCTTCTTCATTCAGTGGGGATGGCTGGGTGCCCTGTGCTAAATGCTCCACACAGACCTGCTGGCTGAATCTCATCACAAGTCCTCTGAGCAGCAGCAGTTTTTAACCTGTGGGTCACAACCCCTTTGGGGGGGGGGTCACATATCAGATATCCTGCATCTCAGATATTTACAGTATGGTTTATAACAGTACAGTTATGATGTAGGAATGAAATAATTTTATGGTTGGTAATCACCACAATATGAGGAACTGTATTAAAAGATCACAGCATTAGGAAGGTTGAGAACCACCGCCTTAAGGTCACTGAGGTCTCTGGAGACAAAGTCAGCTGTCACAGGTCATACTAGAAATTGGTGGAGCTACCTATGACTGTGGGCTGTCACCCCTTTGTCTGAGTCACAACTCATGGTCCCCATACATGGAGGTCAGGTTGTAGGACAACAGCCCAGAGATGGAGAACAGCGAGCAGCCAAAGACAACCGTGTGACAGGGCTCTGACTGAATTGTCTGACTCCTCCCTGCTTCTCCAAATAAATAACTCCAATTTTCTTTATTGCTCCGGGCAGGATTTTTCAATCTAGGAAGTCCGGAGAGACACACCCTCTCTCCAAGGAGCACAGCAGAGTGAAGTATTTGTTTTTCTCTGTCTCACGAACAGAGAAATACTTGGAGGGTTATTTCTAAACAGTAAGGCTAGGAAATTCAACTGAAAATTCCGCACTGGTTTTTAGGAAATAAACTGAAATAAGATACACATAATAATAAGAAAACACAATGGTGTCTGGCGATGAATCTGTTCGTTCTATCCCCCTGTGCCGCAGACTGATTACAGACCAGCATCACTAATATTCGGCTTCGCACTTAAAAGCAGCATCCAACTTCATTCTGAACGAGCTGGGTATTAATAATCCTACTTTGTAGATGAGAAAAAATAGATTTCTCTAAAAGTGTTAAATAAATGGCCTGAGGTTACACCACCATTAAGCAGTGTAGCTGAGAATAAAATTTTCAGACCTTGCTGACTTGCAAACCAGGTTCTAAATACTAGGCACGCTGTTATGGATTTGCTCACTACTGTGCAGAAGGCCTCTTATCTCAAATGGCAACTTGAAACAATTGTTTTGCTCTAATTAGCTTTAGTTGACATTGCTGGGATACAGAGAAATTACTCTTCAGCTTAGATACAGTTAGAAATTACTCTCTAAGCGTGAGTGAGGCAGGAAAACTCTGCAAGCCACATCTTGTCCTGGTTTCCTAGTCTCAGCTATTGAATGTGTAAGGGGAGCCAGGCAGTGGTGGCGCACGCCTTCAAGCCAGTACTCAGGAGGCTGAGGCACCCGGATCTCTGTGAGTTCAAGGCCAGTCTGGTTTACAGAGTTAGTTCCAAGACAGCTAGGGCTGTTACACAGAGAAACCCTGTCTTGAAAAAACAAATATATCCAAATATGTGTGTATGTTAACTTGTCTTTCCTGATGAAATTCAGCATTAAGATTCATATTATTTCCAAAAAAGGACCATCACATTGGGTGTGTTTTCTCTTTACCTAGACCAGTAAGAACCAGCTTAATAAAAAAAAAAAAAAGGTTCTTGTGCAGGACTGAATGTTTCATCTCTTAGTGTGTTCTGTGGGCCATGCACGTTCCCATGTATGACCAGGGGACAGTGTATACAGAGAGGCTTGGCTTTGAACCTTTGCTGGGATCAGACACTTTCACAGTAATGAAGGTTGTACTTATGAAAAAACAATCTGTAAAAAGCAATTTACCAGCTCGGCTATGGTGGTACACACCTTTAATTCCAGCACTTAAGAGGCAGAGGCCAGCAGATTTCTGTGGGTTTGAGATCAGCCTGGTCCACAAAGTGAGTTCCAGGATTGTCAAGCCTACACAAAAACCCTGTCTCAAAAAAAAAAAAAAAAAAAAAAAGGCTGGAGAGATGGCTCAGAGGTTAAGAGCACTGACTGCTCTTTCAGAGGTCCTGAGTTCAAGTCCCAGTAACCACATGGTGGCTCACAACTATCTGTAATGAGATCTGGTGCCCTCTTCTGGCCTGTAGCATACATGCAGACAGAATACTGAATACATAATTAATAAACAAATCTTAAAAAAAAAAAAGGCAATTTGTTAACAACTCAGAAAATGGGTTGGAATCAGTAGGTCATCACCAGCTCTTTGGTTTTGTGACGAGGAAGGCTGAAGCTGGGCAATCCTTGCCAGCTGTACTGGTTAGTTTTATGACAACCAGCTGGAGTCATCAGGGAAGAGGGAGCCTCAACTGAAGAAAAAAAAAAGCTTCCATAAGACTGGGCTGTAGGCAAGCCTACAGGGCATTTTCTTACTTAGTGATGGATGTGGGAGGGCCCAGCTCATGTGGGTGGTGCCATCCTTAGGCTGGTGGTCCTGGGCTCTACAAGAAAGCAGATTAAGCAAGCCACGAGGAGCAAGCCAGTAAGCAGCACTCTGCCATGGTCTCTTGCATCTTAATTGCTCTGGTCACTTTTCAACTTGAGCCAAGTGGCCCAAGGACCAAAAACGATGATAAAAATTTGTCTCCATGGCTGTACCGAGACAACTCTCAGTTTCTTTGACTAGTGCTGTTCTGGAGCTCTCTTTTCTGACGTGTGTTGTTTAACCTTTCCTCAGTTCAGAGACCTACTCACACCCCTCGCCATTCCCAGTTAAGGTCGGCCCTTGTTGCATATAACTATAATCCTTCACACAGCACTTGCAAGCACTTTAGGAAACTACAAAATTTTGTTCCCATGGTGGACATGATTTGAGGCATGCACCTATTTGGCTTCATCTATAAGGACCTGTGGTATTGAGAAGAGAACCCTGTGTGCATTTTTGTGACTTCAGGTGAGCAGTGTCATCTCTCAGATTTTACTCACTCATCTAAGGCCCCAGCTTGAAGGCACAGACCTTTCACAGCTTTCTCTTCCCCAGGGCTTCCCTGCCAAAGGACAGAGAACACAGGGCTTCTCATCGACAGTACCGGGGATGCCTTTCCAGCCACACCTCTCTAGGAAAAATTCCTAACACTCACTTCCACTGTGGAGTGAGGTGGGCCCTGATGGCCGACTGAGGCAGCCAGCACAGGAGCACAGAGAGAATGCAGGCCTGAGCAATGAGTAAGCAGGCACGGGAGGAAGCCTGTTTTCCAAATCCTGCCAGTGCGGCAGCAGAGGGCGGCCGCCCCGGCCCCCAGCACAGAGGTCTGATTGTCTCTGGCTGGTACTGCCATAGCCAGTGTCAGACACAGAATGCCCGGTGTTTGCCTACTCCCCGGGCAGCCTCAGGACTTGATTAGACTGCGTGGCCTCTTGCTATCTCGTCGAATTCCACTTTAGATATGATAATGCAGCCACTCCACACGGGCGGCAGAACACCCTGAATACACGGTAATGCTTCAAGAGTGGGGACGTGAGCCAGCAGGGGCAAGGCGCTTCGACCAGGATTTCAAGCCAGTATTTTTCCCCCCTCCTTTCTTCTTTTTGCCTTCCACTTTTTCTTAACAGATGGGCATGGTTTATTACAGACAAGAAGAGAAGTGGTTTAAAGGCTTGTGGGATCACAGGCTCTTCATGAACCACTGAGGTCACTCAGACGCACTTCAAAAAAATAAAGCCATTACAGCTGGTTGTCGCTGGCTTGTTCTGTCTCGATAGCAGCTGCCTTCTGGACTCTTGTATACACAGCAGCACAGCCCCTGGCTGGGAGCAGGGCAGCTAGGCTCAAAAGTTTGTTTAAACCCAACACTCCCTTCTTTATTTTCTGTCTGGTGGAACTCTGGCCCCTTGGACCTTGATATCCTGAATATTTAGTCTCTTTTCCATCAAGAATCCCAAAGCCAGACTCCGGGTCTGAGATATTATGACTGACCACAGCTAGTTGCAGAGGCTCGCTTCTCCCACGTACTGTGTGTGTGGTTGGATACGAATTGGCTCTTTCACCCTCATTAAGGAGATAGAGATTCTTCTTCAGACCCCACAAGACTTTCAGGATCAGGGAATAAATTGTTTTTAGTACCACACCTAATAACGAGTTCCAGAAGAACAAAACTTCAAGGTGCCGGAGAGACGGTTCAATAAGTAAAATGCTAACATTAAGGTCCTACAAATATAAAATATAATCCGATCCTAGGAACTAATATAAAAGAGCCAGGTATGGTGGGGCATGTACCTGGAGACAGGCTGAAGAGATGGCTCAGAGGTTAAGGGCACTGGCTGTTCTTACAGAGGACTTGGGTTCTAGTCCCACCACACACATGCTAAGTCACAATCCACTGGAACTTCAGTTTCATGAGATCTGAAAGCCTCTTCTGACCTCTGCAATGTGTACACATGGCGCACAGACATGTATGCAGCCCAAACACGCATACACACGATAGTAAAATAATTAAACCAACAACAAAACAAACCATAACTGGGGAAATAAAGATAGGTGGATCACTTGGGCTCGCTGGTCAGTCAACCTAGCTGACCTGGCAGATTGAGTTCCAGGCCAGTGAGACCCTAACAATGTCATCTGATGACTTTCTCTGGTTTCTATACATATGTGCATACATGCACACGTGCATTTGCACACACACATACTCATGCATACATACACAAATCAGAAGATGCCCCGGAAAGCTGTTTAGCTGCTCCGCTGAGCAGTGTAATACATCTTATGCAAATACTGGTTCATCGTGGTTGCTACCACATGCAGATTTTTTTAGTCTCCTAGTCTCCCCTCCCTGTTACCACCATTTCCACCACACAATGTAATCAGATGCTACACACATAGGCTATGGCTATAGAAGGTATAGGCTATAGTTGTCAGCTGTCACAGTGGCTGTCTCCAGAGAATCCCTACCTACCTGAGTTCTTATCTGGCAGTCGGTTTATCCTCCACACAATGGCATTGAAGGCGTGCTCATACTTGGCAGTTCCCAGAGTTACTCTCATGACAGGCTCAGAGCCAGAGACGCCAGCCGAGCCAAAACTTGCCCCCCGGTTCACTTTGGCTTTCAAAGACTTTTCCCCTAGAACACTTTCCCTGCGGAAGTTTTTCACCCATTCGCTGGGCACTGGGTAGCGGACCATCACGTTCTCACAGGGAACCTGAGTGAGGGGGTCACGGTTAGATGAGAAGCCAGGCGACATCCTCAGCCAGCTCTGCACCTCTACCTCTGCCCCGTTGATGCTCGCTGCCGTCCTGAGCGTGAAGGGCAAGGTTTTCTCGGCAAATACTGTCCTAAACCTCATTAGCTCAAACCGGCACGCATCCAAAGGGTTGAAAAGAATAACCCGGGAATTGGTAAACACGTCCTCATCCACACACCCGTGGAACCGGCACTTGTGGAGCTTGATCCACTTTGTGGTGGTGGTGGGCATGATGTCCTGACGGGAAACGATTTCGTTTCCTTTGATAAGGATGTCATTGAGGCCCAGGCGGCACTCGGCGAGCCCAGACAGGAAACTCAGGACGTGGATCCGGGTCAAGACACGGTGCTGGAGGATCTGGTTTTCTCCCTTGCTTACGGTGCCAGAGAATTCGTCTCTCACATCCACCGTAATCTCCTCTTCGAGGTAGTTTAAGCCAACCGTGCTCAAGTCCATGGAGAGCACCGGTATATCCATGAGACAGTCCTGAACCGCATGGATGAAGCTCAGGAAGTCATCATAATTGGTGGTACCCAGTTTAATCACCTGCTCCCTCTCGGCTGTGTGGGCCACAGCCGGTTTGGGCTGGTATTTCTTCTTCTCTTTGTAAGTGACCCGGTCTATCCTCAAGCTGTGGATCCTCCCGTTCTCATCATAGTTTTGGAGCCGGGGTTCGGAAACCTCATGGCAGATCTCCAGCTTGAATTCACGGAATGGTTTTTCCAGGCCCTGCTCGTAATACAGCTGCAGGTAGCCGCTGTCTGTCAGTTTGATGTAGATTGGTCCCCAGTGCCTAGAGGACATGATGTTTTTCTTCTCCGGGATTCGCAGCATCATCGGCCATCCATCCCTGGGTTGAGACAGAGCTGAGGCAGGTGAGTGAGCATCTAGTTCAACCCAGGCTATGGGGTCGTCATCAGGCAAGGCAGCAGGGCCGACCTGATCGGGGTCATCAATCTGGAGCTGTTTGAGCTTTTCAATAGCATCGGGGTGGGGCTGGCTTTTGGAGGAATCGTCAAAACTGATGGTTTCCTGGTAGATGACAACGAGAGAATCTCTTTGGCTTTTGCCCGTGGAAACAGAACTGCGTTGGGAGCGCCGCTCCTGCTCCTCAAAGAAAGCACTAAACGGGTTGATAGGGGAGGGCTGTACATCCTGCAGTGTCTCATTCAGAAAAGGGTTGGTGGCCCTCCAGGGCGGTGCCTCGATTACGGAAGGCGGACGGTTTAAGGAGGAAATGTCCAGCTTCTGAACTTTGGAGAAGTTCATCAGTGTGCTCTTGGGACGGTCCCTCTTAAATGACCCAGTTGGGTTGTAAGATGCATCTGGGGTGGGAGTTGCAACCGATGGTGTATTTGGTTTCGCGGGAGAGGTGACAGGTGGCAAAGGGCAGCTGACTTCATTGTCATCAAAAGTGACCCAGCTGGGGAAACGGGCAGTGGTCACTGGTGGGACGGCAGGGTGCCCATTCATGGCTGGACTGCCGGCCTGCCAGCTGATTGCTTCCATCTCTACTTCTTCATCTTCCTGGAGGGAGGAGGAATTGTCTGAAATGAAAAGGAAAAGACATGAGGAGCTGACACGCAGGACCTTAAAGGAAACTGAACTTCGCAAATGTCCAAGCAGCTTGCACAGTGGACACTCTGAGCACAAGTCTCATGGTTACGGGGTGGCATTCCGGAGGGTCCACTGTCAGAGCCCGTGTGGGTCCAACACAGATTCTCTAACTAGACTGGAACGGAGTCGCGAGGAATAATCAGACACAGCTTACACCGTCATCATGGAAAAGGCCAGAATCCTCCTTTATTGTCCAAACATCTTATATACCCACACCAAATGAGCGGGAACACACAAAGGCTGTTGCCTAGGCAACCAGGTGCCTGGGCTCTGGTCAAACCTAGCAGTCAGGTAGGCCCTGAATTAGCATCTCTATAAGACAACCTCCAAATTGCATAAGGAAAGAAGCCCCAAACATCCTGACCAGTTTCAGTTAACACCTCTTCTCAGGTAATCCACACTTTAACAAAAGAAGCTAGGAGCAAGACATCCTGGCTTTTGTTAAGGGCACAGACAGCTTCTCTGAGCTATGTAATCAGCTCAAACCGGGGCAATGGCTTTTGTGTAATCTCGAAATATGCGCCCACAGCCCACCACCTTAAATGCAATAAGAACATGACAACTTTGTCAAAACAGATGCACTAATGTGTGACACCAACCTTTTCTGCACTTAGTTCTAAGGTGAGTGTTCTTAATTAAACATCGGAATGACTCTATGTGAAATGATACAAACTGACTTTTGAAAAATAAACTAGGGGGCTGGAGAGATGGCTCAGTGGTTAAGAACATTGCCTGCTCTTCCAAAGGTCCTGAGTTCAATTCCCAGCAACCACATGGTGGCTTACAACCATCTGTAATGAGGTCTGGTGCCCTCTTCTGGCCTGCAGATATACACACAGACAGAATATTGTATACATAATAAATAAATAAAATATAAAAAAAAGAAAATAAACTATTGTCCATCAGTCATAATGACAGCACATAGCCTTAAAATAACTATGACCCAAATATGATCAATGAGAACGAATGACAAAATGTGAGTACCCTCAATGTGCATGTGATAAATTCAAACACACGAATAATTTGGTCACTGGCCAGAAATCGGTCCAAAAAACGAACTTCTGTGAGGAGCTTATTTCAGCTGTTGTTAATTCATACTGCCTCGAGGAAATAAAAACCCACGTGTGGCTTCTTCTTGTGACTGTATTCAGCTTGACCTCATGAGAACTTTGCTCACGTGACCTTTCTTAACGCTCTGAGTGTAAATTGTCTGATGCTCTGAACAGAGCTGGCTATTGCATGAGACGTTAGCCTGCTTCACTTTTAGGCTCCATTCTTCCTGTCCCACTGTCTTCAGAGCGATAGACAGGCAACTGCGAAGAGATTTAAGCCCACAGTGGAGTAATACCGAGCCACCACAGTGCTGATAAGTTTGTAGCAACACAGGAAACGATCATCCTCTAAAATTTCCATATCTGGGTTTATGTACTTTATAATTTAAAAGGTTATTACAAGTAAAATTCTGCCCTAACAGGGTCTTCAAGGAAGGAAATAACGGGTTTGGGTTCTAATAAGAGAATGGTCCAAAGTTGTTGTGTAGCGTAAGTCCCTAAGTGAATGAGGGACTTGTGGGGAGGGACCACAGGCTTTTAGCAATGAGGGATGGATTTAGATAAACACACACAACAGATAAAAAATGTCAGGCAACAGTAAATACTCAGAGTTTTACTGACTAGATAAGGAGGAAGTTTTGCTATGGTGTAGATCAATATTTCTGTGTGTGTGTGTGTGTGTGCGCATACGTTCATGTGTGTGATACCACCCACTATTTCTCTTGCCAGACATTCAGGGGCAAGTGGAAATAGACACTTGAATTTTATGACTGTCTCACTAATCCTTCATGTGAATCACATCCAACTACACTGAATCAACAATGCTACACACAATGCACACATAATTACAAATGGAAGGATGGCTGGCTTGTTATCCATTCTTCCAAGAAATTCATTCAAAGAGATAGCAATTTTCTTAATTAAAAGGGTCATTTCGAAAGCCAGGCATGGTGACATACACCTGGAACCACAGTACTCCAGCAACAAGTTGATATAGATATGAATAATTTGCATTGGTATGGATTTTAAGGTTAATTTTGTTATATGTATTTTTGATCTTGATTAAGGTATTGTGATTGTGTAGTTCATTAAAAATGTAATGTATAATTAGGAAATATAGGTTGTTAATGGATAATAGTCAAGCTTGTAGTCATGTTAGATTTTCTAGATATATAGAGATATCTTTCAGTTAGATAGGCATTCTTCATATCTTTCAAAGACTGCAGAATATGGCATTTTAAATGTTTTAATAACTTAGGGCTTTTCATGACAATGAGACACGTCTGCTCCTGGCAGCATCAATCTACTTGAAGAAGAAGATGGGCATCGAAGAGGATCCTTGTGGAGTTTGATAGCCATTTGGGCAAGAAACTGCTCTTGCCTGGACTGTTGCATAAACTGGACACAGAGAACCCTCAGA